GTATTTTGCTAGGCCGTAGCCCCGCGCTGATGCGTGCGCTTGTAGAGCAATATACGCTTCCTCTGCTGTAGCGTAGTACGCCAGCCGTGGCGGCTAGAGGGCCATGGTGAGTGTATTGTAGAGGGAGAGGAAGAGGATGTAATTGATTGCGATCAAGGCCGCATTTGGAGAGAGCATTTGGAATTAGTGAGCAAGTTAAGCGAGCGAATCGGAGGCTCCGGAACACCCCTCCGAGCCAATAGGAAGGCGGTGAAACGACTAGGGGGGGAGGGGGTGTGCGAATAGCGAAAAGGGGGTGTGCGTGGAGGAATTAGGGGGTGTGAGATTATCAACGCCCATTATAAAAGAGCAGGCTTAGTTGTGTAGATTTACGGCTTTAAAAGATGAATATTGTATTATTGTACGTGTTAAGCTAATATTTGTGTTGAGCGAATTTCGAAGAACCGGTGAGGGGCCGAGTATTGTGTGCGGTTAATCTTTCTTCGTATGGCCCTTCGGGGCTACGTCGCAAATGGTACCGCAGCTGCGACAGGTTCTTGCTTGCTTGTCGGCCTTGAATTTGTTGACGGCATCCTTTAACTGCGTTCCTAAGTCGGTGCAGTAGAAGGCAGCTTCGTGGACTTGCTCGCCGCAGTTCTGGCAATACCAACGCAGTCGATCTAGCGAGGTCTCAGGCCGACGTTGTTCCAAGACTATTCCCACCGTGTTGGCAAAGCGGACGGGGTTGTGAGGAGTGTTTGGTGGGAGAAGGAACATCTCTCCTTCTCGTATGTGTATATCCCTGAACTTCCCATCGTCGACCGTCTTCATTAACATGTCGCCTTTGTACTGGTAGAACCACTCAGCAGTCTCGTTGATGTGATAGTCGGTGCGTTCATTGGGGCCGCCAACAATCTGATATTATTTAGGTATAAGTCTTGGCCGAAACTAGGGGGCGGGCCGAGCGTACCATGACAGTCACGTCGTCATTATACACACAATAGTTGTTGATAGGCGGCTTAAGTAAATGAGAATTACTTTCAAGCCTTTCACGTTGCATTCAATCAGTAAGAACAATAAATGATAATGCTAAGAAGCTACATGCTTACCATTTCGGAAGATTCAACGGGCTTGAAAGAGCCCCTCGAGTGGCTGTCGCGGCAAGCATGCGGTAGCTCGTTGCGAAGACTGGCCAGCGGGCGACTGGCCGATGCGTGAGACGCAAAGCAGAGCGTCCCAGAGCTTGCATGGTGAGGAATAAGCAGGGCTGGTACGCTGTGCGCTCCTACGCTAGGTGGTCGATATGATTATTCCGTTTGTTCCTGTGAAGTTTTTTTGAGTTCCATGTAGAGTCAGACACGGCGTCGAGATACGGAACAGCCGGAAGCGAATCTGACATAGCGCTTGGCGGCGATCGGAGCAGGGATCTGGTCCCTTGCGACGCTACTGAGACGTCCCGCAATTGACGACAGAGCTTAAATTTACCTGCACCATTCAAGTCCTCTCAAATCCTCTCACAACTCACAACCTTCATCCCCAACGCCTCCAGATTGACAGCAGCAAACACTCAACCATCAACACACTCTAGCACTGATGGACCACTCCCACATGGACCATGGCAACGCCCACCGTTGCAACATGAACGTTCGTTAGGACATGCTCACTGAATGAAGCGTTGCTAACTTGACTGCCGCAGATGCTGTTCACCTGGGGCACCCAAGACCTGTGTATTGTCTTCCGGCAATGGCATGTCTCTGGCACTTTCTCTCTGCTCTGGTCCTTGCTCGCCATCGTTCTTCTTACCGCAGGCTATGAAGCCGTTCGTGAGATCTCCCGCCGCTACGAAGCATATTCGAACAATCCAAGACGCGTGGACGAAGCTACAAGTGAGTGGATCTGTTCCTTGCCCCATACAAAGAGTCGGTGTATCTGTGGTTGAGTCGTAGCACGATGACTGCATTACATCGTCCGTTCGCCGATCAACGCTGAAAGGATGGTTTGAAGGTCCCAGTGTCAACGAATCGAGCTCATTACTTTGGTCAGGGAGGTCAGTGCGGGCCGTTGAAAGGAGGAACAAGATGGTTAATGCCGCCTTTTACGCTCTGCAAGTGTTCTATTCCTTCTTCATCATGTAAGTGATCTTTGCTCAATTCCGTTAGCTTTGACAAGGAACCAAATGGATTAACTTGGTCACCAGGCTTCTATTCATGACCTACAACGGGTGGGTCATGCTCGCTGTGGCCGTAGGAGCCTTCCTCGGATATATGACGTTCGGTAATTCGTCCTCCGCGACGAAAGGCGTTGCATGCCACTAAGGGCTGCCTTTACTCCCGGCCGGTGATATCAAAGAAGGAGGGCCATCGTACCGTTTGCGATGAATCAAGGAGTGTTCATGGAATACCATTACTGGAGTTTCTTCGCCGCATACATTAGCATGTTCATGGCCTTTAGTTGATTGTTTAGGATATGTCTAATTCATAGAGTGCCAATATTAATGAACCTTTGCTACTTTATTTTATACGCTGCGTATTAACGTCTTGGCCACCCGGTCGAGCCAGCCAAAATTACCGCCAAAACTGCTAGTTTGCACGCTTATAACTTTACTACTATTTAATATAAAACTATAAAAATGGGGACTACTAATCGTACACCCCCTAATTCCTAGACGTACAACCCCTTTTCACTCCATGTACACCCCCCCCTCTTGGCGCTTCACCACCTTCTGATTGGCTCGGAGAGCCCGGAGCTTCCTCCGGGCATTCACCCTTACGTCTCTCTACACGTGATGCTATACGCGAGGCTGTACGTGATGCTATACACGAGGCCGTACGTGATGCTATACGCGAGGCCGTATGTGAG